GACTGGATTTCACTGTCAAATGCCAGGGATGAGAACTCAAGTCATTTCCTGGGGAAAATAAAAGCTTGTTTTTAATAGGGACTTGGTACTTGGTACCAAAGACTCTGACTCAAACCCAAAGACTTTCCAACATCTCTGTCAAATGCTCTAGTTCAGGGGCGGGCAGGTGATTTGCTAGTAGTATGGAAGTTTAGAAGTAGCTATTTACAAGTTATTTAGAATGGCCTTATAGGCCAGATGGCCGGCGTATAAATCAAATCAATCCATCAGTCCATCAGTCCATCCGTCCGTCCGTCCGTCCGTCCGTCCATCCATCCACCCATCCATCCATCCATCCATCCATCCATCCATCCATCAATATTACCAGTAACAAGTTAGTTTTTTTAAGTGATGATGATGTAATTAAGTTACATTTGAAATGTAAGGTGCAGAGTGGTGATGAAGTAATTTTTTCAGTTTAAAGGTGATTTTTTCCAGCTATTTTTAGAAGGGAATTTTGAAGTAAAATGATCTCCAGCTTACTTCGAAGCTGGCTGAAGAGATATGTGATCTGTAGTCCAAAAAAAGAACTTCTCTGGATTTACAGCAATCTACTTTAGAACTGTCCTTGACCAAATCATGATGATTGACTCCGTATTTCATGTTTATATATTTGCATCAATGATATGAGAAACCAGACCTATTAAAACCCCATTTCCCCAGCTTTGTTTTTGGGGTCAGGGGCAGGAATGTAAATAGTTAAGTCCTCTGACTCAGAAAGAGCCCAAACATATTTTTAAAAACCTCAAATACTGACCATTCCAGGTATCTTGTTGCTCACAATAACATGCTACAGCTGCCATTATAACAAACCTATGACAGAAAGGGAGCATTTAAAAAGCAGGGGAAGAGTTGGGAGGATGACATTTAAAAATCATTAAAATGAAGAGCTATTTTTGCAAGAAAACCTTCTCCTTGCTTTAATGTTGGCTTGTTTGAGTGTATTTGGCAGCCATTCACATAACGGTTCAATCGTCCTTGGTCGGAAGAATATGCAGCTTCAGTGCCATACGCTCCAGTCGAAAAAAGACTGCCAGAAAAAGCAAGGGATAAATTCTGACTTTGCTCCATGCCCTACAGTGCTCCTTATTTTGAAGCCAACCACAAACTAGAGGGGCAGATCATTTAGGTTTCATGAGAAGTCTGAGTCATCATGAAAAGACAGGAGATTTCAGAAAGCCAAGTCCCCCCCCCCACTACTCTCCGTTGGGAACATTCAACAAATTTGGGGTTTTTTTGCACCATACTCCAAATTCAGCTTTATAAATTCCCTTGCTGGGGGTTGAGTTCAGATCAAAGTCGTATTGGCTAGTGCATTGGCAGGGAAGGCTTGTCTAAAATGTGTTTGCTTTGGCTCATCAGCAAAACATCCAGGGAGGTTTTCATTTCATTTTACTCAAGGCACGGCGAGTGTGATGAACCTTGGACAGGGATGACATACTCTGCCTGTTTAACAAAAGCAGCGGCGCAATCCTGCGCCAAGCCTCTGCACCCTTTATGTCAACAAAAGCTGAGATCTTCAGCATCTGTATTGCAGAAACAGATACAGATGTATCTACACAATTACATGCAAGGATGAGCCAAGTATCCATGCAAACTCATGATTCCACTCTTCCATAAGGAGAGGGTAATGGGGTGCGGGTCGCAGGGGCTGTTTTAGGGTCCTGAGCCAGTTTTTGGAAAGTCATTGGAGGGCCAAGACTGTCAACAGCATGGGCCCAATTATTCTTTTGTACTTTTCAAGGCTGATTTAAAATATTCAAAAAAGAGGTGCTGTACTTACACACCTATTCAAATTAAACCCATGTTCATGCATTCTTCCCTCCCCCTCAAAAAAACTTCCCACCTTGTTGCACTTTGTTTCTCCTAATCCAGAAGAGATAGGACCATCTGGGACATTTTGCTACCAGAGGCAGATGACCCAGTTGTGCCCATTCATCATTTCCTTCTCCCTCTCTGCGTAGCTCCAGCAGTTACAGGCGCTAGCTTTTCCTTCCTTCTGCTAGACAATGCCTCTTGTCGAGGGATAAAGGAGTGACATGATCTCCTCCTTAAGGCACTATACGGTGGACTGATGTGGCTTCAGGGAGGAGAACTCTGCTCCACTGTGGCAAACCTGTGGCAAGCAGGTTTAATATTTTGCTCTTGAAGTTTTAATATTTTATTGTCAAACTTTTTGCTGCTGCAACCAAGGATGAAATCGGATGTTATAGTGAGCCCATTATTACAAACATAACTCCCTGAAGATAGTACATTTGTTTGTCTATGTAAGTACAAGGTCTGTCAACTCCACATTCTGCCAATAAGCTTGCATGGTGATTGGCCATCAGAGGATAACCGTGTGCTTCATTTGCAAGTCGATGGTTAAGACACAGTGGCTTTGAAGGACGGCTTTGCTGGAAGGATAATATTTCACTAGCTTCTACAGTGGTGCCTCGCATTATGACATTAGTTCGTTCCAGCGAAATCGCTGTCTAACGAAAACGTCGAAAAGCGAAAATGAAAAAGCCATTGAAATGCATTAAAACCTGGTTAATGCATTCCAATTGGGTAAGAACTCACCGTCCAGTGAAGATCCGCCATAGGGGCGGCCATTTTTGGGTGCCTGTGCAGCGAAAAATGGCTCCTAAACACAGCGGGGAGCCAATTTGAGCATCCGGCGGCCATTTTGAAAATCCGATGATCAGCTGTTTTGATTGTTGGGAAGTGAAAATCGGTTCCCGAAACAGAACCGATCATCGCTCAGCGAAATTCCTTTCCCGAAACAGAGAACCGATCATCACGCAGCAAAATTCCTCCATTCAAAACGTTGTTTTGCAATCGCTTTTGCGATCACAAAAACCTTGTTGTAATGCGGATTCATCGTTAAACGGAGTGCCCGTCTTGTGAGGCACCACTGTAGTTGCAAAGTCAGTATCTTGCCTGCTTTAGTGATGATGGGTGCTCCCACAGCTCTCCTTTTGAGGGCCATCTTACTTCAAGATGCTTCACTCCAAAGTAAGAAGCTACATCACCTCCTCCTTTCTTAGAGTCAGGTAATGTAAAGCAGTGCCAAGATGGAAGTGGACCAAGTGCTCATGAACACGTTGCTATTTATAAATTGCTTAAAGGCTCATTCCTACACCTTCTCCTCGTTCGCTACCTGAGTTTAGAGTTTCACCTTCTTTTATGGTAGGGCCAGCCTTTGCCTGGATGACAAAAGAAGCAGAGCACTGCAGCCTGACTTCCTAACAGTGGAGGCAGGAGACTGCAAAGTCGATGGAGTGGCCAGTCTGCTCCAGATTTTAGTCTGACTGTAAAGGAATCACAGAATCATGGAATAACTGAGTTGAAAGGGGCCTATAAAGCCATTGAGCCCACCCCACCCCCACTCAATGCAGGAATCCAAATCAAATCAAATCTGACAGATGGATGTCCAGTTTTCTCTTGAATGCCTCTGACATTGCAGTTCTCACCACCTGCTGAGGTAATTTCTGAGGCATCCTGGGCTGACCGAGAACAGATCCTTCCCCTCCTCTGTATGACTACCTTTCAAGTATTTGAAAAGTGCTATCATATGTCTGCTTAGTCTTCATTCCCAAGGCTAAATATGCCCTGTTCTTTCATTCTTTCCTCATAGGTCTTGGTTTCCAGGCTGCTAAACCCATTTTGGTCGTAGGGCTCAATAGGTTGCATGGCTGCTCTCAAGTTTGCAACAAAACCGGCAATGTGCACCACCCCACTGACTGAGCCACCAGACCTCACTGCTTCTACGCAGAGGAACCATAGCACAACTTTCCATTATCCTGACATTTCAACAAGGAAGTTCCCACAAGGTTGCACGTTTATATTTCTAGCTCTAGAGTTTGAAATTTAAGGAAGCTGAGTCAAGACAGAAAGAGAGACAGAGATTCCTTTTTGTATGCTGTTTTCTTCTTTGGGAATTAACTTTCAAAGGGAGTAAAAGTGTTCACACAAGTACAGGAGCTGCTGCAACACAGGAACTGGGAGAGTCCAGGAAATTGGGCTTTTGCAGCAGGGCCATATGAGAACAGCTGATGTCATTTGAGTGTACTGACCTCACTGCAAAGGTAAATCTGACTGTCTACCACATACTGTGACATCATTATCATATGATCTCAGGTGATTCCAATTTTGCTGGGGCAATGAACTCACTCCGGTTCTTTGTCTGAACTACACTGGAACTATTTGAGATGCTGGACCCTATCCCCAAAATTGGTTCAGACCCTTGGATAAGACCCTTAAAGTTCTGAATAAAATACAGTGTGGATTCACGGCCCCAGTGAAATCAGAGTCTCCACAGCCCTGAAAATATAGTGATCAAGCAACAGCAACAACAAATAATGGAAACAACAAGATGAAAACAGCATCCTGCACCAAAGATTTCGGTGGACAATCTGCCTTCTCTGAACAGCACTCTTTCACGCTAAATATGTTAGTATCCTATTTTTTCCCCAATAACCCTTAAAAAATCTGAACCCGGACCAGCTGCTCTTGAAGAATCTCGCCCTGTTGTTCAAGGATTCATATTAGTTTATGTAACCAAATAGGCATGCTGAGAATTTGGACTCAAATACCACCAAAGCTGTACTACACTGAAAAAGGGCCTTTGGTCCCTTCAGCTCAACTTTCTCTACTGTATCCGGCATAGATGTTTAAGAGCTCTAGCACAGCTCTTTCCTGTGATTACAAGGTCCAGGTTACTTGCAGCCTTTCAGCTGTTGCAAGATAACAGCTCCCATCAGCCTTAGTTAATGCTGCCAATGACGAAGGATCATAGAAGCTACAGCCCAACCATCTCTGGAGGACTGTAGGTTCCTTTGAACTGGGACTGAACCTGGGGACTTCTGCATGCCCCATGTATACTATGGCAATGCTGACACAGTCACGTGCTATACAATGTGCTATAAAATGCATGACCTCTAGCATTCTGTGATGAAAATCTAGAGAAAACAACTCACCAAGAGTAGGATCATACTCCCATATGAATCGCTTGGTCAGAAAACGCACAACGAGAGCTATGGGAAAGAAGCAAAAATAAGTTCACGTCAGACAAATTAGTATTTTGGCTGGAAATCAGACTCTCTGCTACAGGCAGTGTATCAGTAAAAGCCAAACCCATTAGTATTTGGAAACTTTTTGCTAGCAACCTTTGGGACTGAACAATCATACTTGCCAATGATGCCTGTCTTACCACCTGATGATCAATAACAAATTTAAGTATGCTAATGTGCAGCTTATGGGAGGTGTGAAAAGCCAATGTGATGATAGTCAGATATGTTGAGCATTTAAGGAATTGCCTCTTCTAATGACACCCCAGGCATTTGCAATCATCCAGAACTTTTTGAACTATTATCCACAACAATGGCAAGTCCAGCTGAAATGGATGGAAATTGCAAAAACATACATTCCCCAGCTTTAGTTTACTTAATATGTACTAGACCCCCCCCCCAAATCTATGGGATCGTTGTCTGCAATTTGAAAATATTAAAATTATTTAAAGAAAAAAAACCTAAAAATAATATTTTCATGGTGTCGTTACCAGAACTGGCCACAAGAAGGAGCCAGAGACCATTCTATGTATTCCATGGCCACCTAGTGGCCAGTTTTGGTAATACATGCTTAAAAATTAGTTTTTTTCTGGATTTTTAAAAATTTCCTATGTTATGTATAGTGTTCACTATTATCTGCAGTTTTTAGTATCCACAAGGGGGCTTGGAACCAATCCCCTGCAGATACGGAAGTCCTACTGTACATGCAACAGAATTTTAAAAGCTCTTAAGTCCTTGCCCATTTTGCAAGAAATTAGAATAGAATCTTATCACCCTGTGCAGTCACTTAGGGGAAATTATCCAAGGGATGCTATTTGGCTATCAGGTCATCTGTCACACACTCCCACATTCATCAGTAGACCAAACAATGGCAGCTACATGATGGGTGACAAACAAAAGGGGAAAACGACTTGTATGATTGCCTCTACAGGTACAGTTTTCCTCAATAGGATTCTGGCCTTGAGCTACTCACACATATGAATAAGTGTGAATGGCATGGAGGAACCCCGGTTTCGTGGATGGATGCTATGTGCACATTTGTGGGAGCGGTAGTCCAAAAGCACACCTCTAGATGGAGCATGGAGCAAAGCTGTCTTGTGACCGTTTCCCTTTCGTGACTCAAGTCTAATGAACGTGTTGCACAAAATGGGAAGTCCAGACATAGTTTTAAGAGATGCAAATCCAACTTGTTGCATCTTGATTGTCCAAAACCACAACCATGACACACATAATCAACAACAAAGTTTAAACCCAACCACATTCAGTCCTGGAAATGTAAACATCAAATATAGGAGAATTAACATTCAGATTGGTGGAGGAAAATTGAATTTAGGCCATTTGGTTGAGAAAGATTTATTAATTTTAAGAGTTCTATACAATATTTTATTAGATTACTGCATGTACTTCATACTGTTCCTGCAAAGACTTCAAAGCAACACAGACATAATTCCTTTCCCAGATCTGAGATTTAATTATTTATTTTTGCATTACATCCCCCCAGAAGTCCACAGACAGAAGGGATTGGGGAGGGGACATAGTCTGAAAAAATATTTTCCCCCTATATATTCATTTTTCTCCTTGCCGTTGCCCCTTCAGGAGATGTAGTCTGGCAAGGTGCATAAGTTTTGGTGACATGGACAAGGTGTTTCAAAGTTAGATGCTGCCACATCGCCTTTCACCCAGTCTCTGCTCTACAAGCCCCATCACAGGGGTTGAGAACGTAAGCCCATCCCATATTTTTGGACTTCTAACTCCCACTGGCCCCGCTAAGAGATGGTGGAAGCTCCTCAGACATCTGGTGGGCCAAAGGTTCTCCACAAAAGACCCCTTTGTGCAGGGTTGGGCTCAGCTCTGAAGGCAAGGGAACACAACGAATCATAATAACCGTCATTAGCATTTATATAATCCTGCAGAGTTGGGGTAGACCGGTTTCAGATTTGTAGCAGGATCTGCCCAAACAGGAAGCCTGAGCTTAGCCAGCCGCCTCACTGCTGGGGGGGACGACGGAGAAACACCATCAACTGGGCATTCTTGCAAGCTACTGTGATACTTCTAACATTTTTTTTGCTTCACTGAACATGTGCTCTACATCTCGGAGTAGTAAAAGAGACACATAATAGCCAAAATGGTCAGGCCAGAGTTTTAATTCTTTGGGTTTTCTCCACACTTCCACACCCAATTCTCTGCCATCATATCAGATGAAGAGGTCTGGAAAAGCTGGAAGATTTGGGCTGCCTTTGGGCTCCCTATTAGTAACCCGAATACAAGGGATTACCCAACTTGGCATTAGGCTCTAGGTTTGTTTTACTACAGTCTTGATGCTAACAACATTACCCAGTCCAAACTTCCAGTGAAAAGATCTTGTCAGGTGCTAAACAATGACTATAGTGGATGGACATTCATCAAGAGTAAGGGAGCCAGGCTCATTCTGGGCACATGCCTAGACTTGGAATTGATCATCAGCACCATCATAACTCAGTTGATAGACCTATCCATACATATCACTTCTCCTAATCATTAATCATTCCCTGCTCCCAATTCTTCTTCTTCCTTTTCCTCCTCCTCTTCTGGTAATCTAAGGGTATGGCTACACTAGGAGCAATAAGCAAGCTAGCATGGGCTGCTTTGGAATTGACCACTCACAAGGAAACGGTTCCTAACATTATTGTGAAGAGGCTTCATAAGTAAGCCACTTCAGTGTATGGGCAAATAATTACTTCCCCTGCTCAGGGGAAATGAAAACATTTTTTTGGATAGTATACTATCGCTGATGTGTTGCATCAGTTATAATGTTTTTAAAAAGAAATCTTTGGCTTGCTTAAAGGGGTGAGATGTTTTAAGAAATTGCCTGAAGTTCAAACCACTCCTGTGGATTCAAGGTTGGGAGTCTTTGACATGAGGCAAAGAAAATATTTTTTTTTACAGCTGGTGCAGTGTGTTAGCAATAGTCTACATACAATCAAAAATAATTTTTTCATTTCCCTTGTCCCCTGCCAAGGAGGGGAAATGATTAATTTGCCAATATCCTGAGGTGGCTCACATATTAATCCACTTCACAATGCTGGCAAATTCAAACTGGAAGGCTTGCTTTGGAATGGTTCCAGCACTACATGCACTGGTATCAAGCCCAACAAGAGTGATTCTATCCGCACTAGAAAAATTGAAGCCCCTTGACAGGGCCAGAAAGGTGTGGGTAGGAATTCTCTTGGGCCAGACTGGTGCACTCTAGCAAAGATATTCTCTGAATGCCATCCTTAAGAGTGAAGCAGCCTATCCCTGCAGCTCTACAAACTGTGGGCTAAACAGCTTATGTAGTCAGCTTCCAATTTAGACTTCATCTCCTGTCAGCCACTCCCAACATGATCAATGCTAAGAGATCAAAGGACATGGTCCCAAATATCTGAAGTTTCAAAGACTTCTTAAAAGCAAATCAAAGCAAAATGTGCTGTTTATATATTACCCTATAGTCCTTAAAGCACTCTCTGGGCAATTTACAATTTAATTTTGCAGGCTAAACATTGCCCCCTTCCCCCCCCCAAGGAAGCTGGATACTCAATTTACTGACCTCAGAAGGATGGAAGGCTGAGCGAACCTCGGGCCAGCTACCTGGGATTGAAGCCAGGTCAAGAGCAGAGTTTTAGATGCAGTACTGCAGTTTAACCACTGCACCACAACTTTGTCTCAATAGGCCACACAGAGTAAGAATCACTTTGTGCAGGAGAAACTAGGTTTTTTTCAATGGCCATTTCCACCACCACCTTGGAAACAGCTGGGGGATTATGGGGCTTGTAGTTTAAATAAGCAACTTTCTCAAACTCTGTGAAAAACCCTTGTTGACATGACTTGAATTCAAATAGTCCTAGGTAAAGGTTCCGCTCGAGATTTAGTCCAGTCATGTCCAACTCTACGGTGTGGTGCTCATCCCCGTTTCCAAGCCGTAGAGCCTGTGTTTGTTCTAAGACAGTTTCCGTGGTCACGTGGCCGGCATGACTGGACACAGAATGCTGTTACCTTCCCACCAAGGTGGTACTTATTTATCTACTCGCATTTACATGCTTTTGAACTGCTAAGTTGGCAGGAGCTGGGACAAGTGACAGGAGCTCCCTCCGCTGCATGGATTCGATCTTACAACTGCTGGTCTTTTGATCCTGCAGCACAGAGGCAGTTTAACCCGAAGCACCACCACGTCCCAGTTAAAAAGTCCTAGGAATGCTAAAAAAAAGTCCTGCAAAGTACATTTGCTGCAGCTGCTAAAATAAAAATAGGAAGCAGGTGTTGAAAGAACAGTGGCCTGCCTAAATTCCTGCCACAGGTGAAATGTTTGCTACTGTTTTGCACACAAACTCTTTGTAAATGACCCTGACAGCCTATTCTGCAGGCTTCTGTGACCATACCAAGGTTTACAGACTTTGGTCATTACAGATCATTTCTTAGTTGTTTACTGGCATGGCACAGCAGGTGCACAAGGTGCAAGAAGTGCTTGTAAATTAATTCTGACAGTTGCATAGCCATCCAAGCACACCTCTGGTAATAACAATTTAGAGAGCCACATCCACCGGGCAGGGTCCTTGCTCAAATCATGATTCATGCCATATTCTGACATTTCAATTAAAAACGCAGACGATTCACCTATGGTCATGCATAACGGGAGATGTTGCCAAGCAATAATTCTTTACTAGTGGGTTTAACTTCTGCTGCAGGTCTCTGTTGAAAAGTTTCGAATTGTAAAATTCCTTTTTGTAAAGGAATTGTAAAATTCCTTTTTGCTACACAATAGAAGTACAGAGACCCACAGAGTAGAATTGCTGCAAGTCCCCGAGAGTCCACCCCTTTCTCATTAACTGTTGCTTAAAGTCACAATAACTCACTTTGGACATTTGTAGGAGAAAAAAAATACAAACATTTCTTTACTCACAGTCCCTTGACATTGACACCTTGGGTATACTGCTTTCTTTTCTGCACGCATA